CGAGGCGGAGGTTTTTGGGGAAGTCAAGGTGGCAGCGGTCCCGAGAGGAGGTGTGACCGCCAGACGGCGAAGCCATGAAGACGGATGTTTTGCCTCTGGCCTCTTGCTGGGTCAAACCTCCTGTTGGGAGATTGCCTTAACGCTGGGCGTCAGAGGATGCGTACGAACGAATTCAGGTCAAAATATTGTGAGGGAGGATGATCCGAACACATGTAAAAAGGGGGACTGCAGTGACAGCTTGGTAACTGGCAACTTGGATGATGTTTTCGGTGGTTAGAGCCGGTATACTCTGCCCCAGCAGACTGGAAGGTGCTTCTTTCCTTTTCTTTTTGCACAGTCCCCCCTTTCAGTTTGGCGCGACCTGATTTACAGATCCGTGCAACTCTGCAGATGTTATTTACAACATTAATACTTCCTCTGTTACACCTTTAAATCTTTCCAGGCTCGACTTCGTATGACACTATCTTCATTCTGAAACAAAACTATTAAATTACATCTCAAGCTAAGACGAATGACAACTGTCAAATGAGTGACTCAACAGAGGTGAAGCAGAAAGTGCTTGAGATTATGTGAGGCTGATTTATAAAGACTGCATAAAGATTTCTATAACCCCAACTTCATGACTCAGCATATCAGGTGGTAATAAGTTACAGTAGGTGGAAATTTATTACTGCTAGAAGAAGCCAAAGAAAGCTTCTCCCTCTTCTAGATCACCTATCTCCCAGCTAATTCTGTTAAGGTTAAGTCTCCCTGCTGGTAAATAATCAATACATATCCCAGCCAGAAGAAAGCCTCAGTTCGTTTTCACCTGATGCTTTGCATTAACATTTATAGGATATGTTTTTAAAACTTTACTTCATGGTAGAACTTCAGAAAGTGAGGCACCAGAGGCAAAAGCAGAAGCCAGGTAAGCCTATTGGGACAGCAGGAGAGTCATTCAACTGACAGTGAATGAAACTTTTCCCTTACTTCACTTAATTGAGGTTGCCATTTCTGAGGTCAGTACCTGCATGTAATTAAAAAAAAAAAAAAGGAAAAGGAGCACAGTTTTTAGTGGGACAAAAGTGCAATTTGACTGTAAAATGAATGATGAGTATTACTCATATTTAGGTTAACAGTGCAGTCAGGCATGCTTGGCTTCTGATACTGAAATGCGAAATTCATCCACCACTGAAACAGGTAAATGGTTTCTTGACCTGCAGGAGCGCTGGTCAGGCCCTGAAGCTGTCCTCAGTGTGCAAGTTGATCTTGAAAGCGAACCTGAAAGCTCCAGCTCATGAAGTTCTGTGAGCACTGAGCGGGATGTTTTCAGGTGCCTTGAGGTCAATCCGTACTACAGAGACCGAAGGATCAAGGATTAGATACAAATGAAAAAGGAGAAGATGGCAGAAAATAAGAGGTGATAGGAAGGAGGCTGAATCAAAAGGACAAGAGAGAGAAATTAACCGAACTGAGTCATGAAAAGGTAGGAAAAGAAAGAGCAGATAAGAAATGACAGTAGGAGGAAGAGAAAAACAAGAAGGAGTAAAAAGTTCCAGAAAGCACACTAGTTCAGCTCTCTTTCACACAAGTGGTATTTGCTACTCCTATTTTTCAGGCTAAGTGCACATTTTTTTTTCTATCCATAACGTTACAGAACCTATTGGTAAGGAACAAAATACTGAAATTGCTAAGTACTAATGTGCTGTTCTGTATTCTGAATGAATGCAACCGAAATAGCTAGATGCCTGCTGAATACAGGCAGACAGTCTCCCTTTTAACTGTGAATTGCTTTGTTTTTGTTAGTTCAAGTCATACTTCGAATATGATTTAATGTGT